TAGTGAAAAGAAGAAAAAGAATTCTATGAGGCCACACTGGGAAAAGGGACAAAGACACCTGTTGTGGAATATTCCTTTACACTGTGTGAAGATGTGTCACTGTGGCTGGTTTCCTCAACAGCCTAGTGGCCATTAGCTAGGCAGGATCTGGGGGGCAGAGAGAATGCTGGGAGATGCAGAGGAAGCGTGACATGTAGGAGATGAGGTAACAAGTCACAAGCCACATGGCATCATGTAAATTAACAGAAATGGGTCAAGTTATAAGAGCTAGTTAGAAACAAGCCTAAGCTATCAGCTGAGCTTTCATAATTAATAATAAATCTCCATGTGGTTATTTGGGAGCTGGCTGGCCGGACAGAAAAACACCTACAGACACCCATGGCCTCCCACCTCCTCTAGGTTCATCTTGGGCGGGCCCAATACAGCAGCAAGGTTAAAACAGAAGGCACGAGACACATATGAGGGGTGCTGGAGATGCAGCTCAGAGGCTAGAGCAATTGCAGAAGACTGGGGTTCAGTCCCCAGCACCCACACAGCGGCTCGCGGCCACCAATAACTCCAGTTCTGGGGGACCTGACATTCTCTCCTGGCCTCTATGGACCTCCAGCGCAAACAGGGTACATAGACACACAGAGACGACACTCGTTCACATAAAATGAAATGCATTCTTTTGAAGCATGAGAAACGCTAAGGAAGCAGTCGGCCACCAGGTGGCCCTGCCCATCGTCGGCTCAGGTCCAAGTCTCTCGGGCAAGGCAATCCGACAAGGTGTCAGTCTTTCTCCAGGAGGAGAGCTCCGCCCCTGGAGATTCCTGGGGAGATCCTAACTTTCCTGGGTACCCTTCTCTCAGCACTCTGGTAGCCAGCAGGGAGAGTCCCTGTGTATTTAGAATTACCCATTCGGACAGGCCAGCCACCTGTGTGCACCTCCACACCCAGTGTTCTTTAAGAAATAGACACATTTTAAATTATGTGTGCATGGAGTGGGGAATGTGTAGGTACACGTGTGCGCGATGCCAGCAGAAGCCAGAAGGGGAGGCGGGGTTACCGGCCTTTGTGAGCCGCCCGGAATGGGTGCTGGGAACTGATCTGGGGCCCTCTGTCACAGGTGCCATGAACCTCGGACGGTCTCTCCAGTTCCATACTCAGCATTTTTAAACAGGTTCTGCGGGTCCAAGCTCAGGTCCTCCCGCTTTCAAGGAACACTTTACTGGCTGACCGGCCTCCCTCCCCAGGTCCTCTATTGCTGTTATGAAAAGATTTGGGGCCAACACCCACAAACTAGCATGGCTCTCTACCTGGTCTTTCAGCCCATCCCCCTCCTGCCTCTGGACCTTGGCACGTGGTTGTAGAATCTCTGAAGCCATCTCTCTCTGATCTTGTTGGTACAGTAAGAACCTCCAAGTTTTCATGTCGTGTCAAACACCGTGCTGGGAAAACCTATTATCTCATTTAATATCCCCAAGAGTCCTTGAGATGAACTCGGCTTCCATGCTCATTGTTGTAAACGGTGGGCCCAGAGAAGTCAAGACACTTGCCTAAGCATGCACAGCTTAGCTGGTTCTAGCTGAAGCAGAGTTTGAATCTGTACCGCCTGCATCTTCACGGTAAGCTCCCGGAGAGCCCAGAGCAGGTGAATCTGTGCCGCCTGCATCTTCACGGTAAGCTCCCGGAGAGCCCAGAGCAGGTGAATCTGTACCGCCTGCATCTTCACGGTAAGCTCCCGGAGAGCCCAGAGCAGGTGACAGCCACAGCGGGAGCACTAGTGAGGCTCAGCACAACGACCTGAGTCCGAATCCTCTGTGCCCATGGAAATGGCCAGGTGCAGTGGTGTGGAGTCAGCTCCAGATTCAACAGGAGACCCTGCCTCCGAGTCCCATGGCCAGACATTATGCAGAGAGTGTAAATGGGAGGTCTCCATCAATCCCTTCCCTCAGAACTCAGGGAACCCCACGAAAGAAGAGGGAAAGTAAAAGAGTGTATGAGAGAGAGAGAGAGAGAGAGAGAGAGAGAGAGAGAGAGAGAGAGAGAGAATCTTCCCAGCACTCGGGAAGCAGAGGCAGGTGGATCTCTGAGGTTGGAGCCAGCCTGGTCTACAGAGCGAGTTCCAGGAAAGCCAGAGTTACACAGAGAAACCTTGTCTCAGAAAACCAAGATGGGGGGGGCGGTAGACAGACAGACAGACAAACAACAGACAGACAGACAAGAGGAGATGGAGGACACCAGGAGAACGAGGCCCTCTGAATCAACTATGCAGGCACATAGGAGCGGGCCAGCAGGGGTCTGCACCAGGTCCCTCTGTTAGCTGTTTTTTATGGGATCCTGACTGACAACTCTGACTCTCTTGCCTGCTCTTGGGACTGTTTTCCTCAGTCGGGTTGCTGTGACCAGCTCCAGTATGTAGGCTTTTACTTCGTCTCACTGATTTTGTCCTGTTTGGTTGTTCTCTCTAGGAAGCCTGTTTGTGACTGAGAGAAAAGAAGTGATCGGGAGGGAAGGTGAGGAGGGAGGGAGGAGGACAGGGAGGAGAAACTGCAATGGGGATATATGTATGAGAAAAAAATCTATGCTCAATAAAAAGGAAAGAAGAGATTAAAGGCGTGTGCCACCAACGCCCAGCACTCGGGAGGCAGAGGCAGGCAGATCTCTGTGAGTTCGAGGCCAGGCTGGACCGACAGCCTCCAAAACAGAGAAACCCTGTCTCGTAAAACCAAAAAAAAAAAAAAAAAAAAAAAAAAAAGGAAAGAAGAGAAATCCTGACTCAATCAAATGGAAGGGATTAAGGAAGGTGCCTGACCCTGGCCTCTGATCCACACCCACCAAGAACGCTGGGGGAGACATGGACCCTGTTTGCCTCCTCCCTTCCTGACTTAAGCAAATCTCGGCTTATCTATACATGTATATGTTAATTTTCCCAGTAATTGCTGTGGTGCTGGGCTGGAAGCCAGGGTCTCCAGTGCACCCCACCTCTCTCTCAGAGTGCAACAACGGGCAGCCCCTGTGCTGCGGGGTCAGTGAGCAACTGCTTTGCTGAATAGGGCTTCCCAGACTGTTCCCCGTCACTCTCGTCACTCTCGTCAGCCTCAGAAAACAGATCAAAAGCCAACTTCAGCACTACTGTTTCCTCCGGCTAAATCCCCAACAGGCAATAAACCACACCCAGTGCACAGCCGGAGGTCACATTGTGATGTCTCTAAGCACAGAAGCCAGGTTGGGTGGGGGTGACTAAGGGATTTCCACTACCACCCCCCCCCCATAGGCAAGGTAAGTCACCTGAAGTCACAGCTAGGAAATACTGAAATGGAAATTTTTAAAAAATCTGTTGAGACACAGAGTGGCTGTGGGTTTCGAGTTTGGGTGACTCACACCGAGTGAGGAAATGCTTAACATATCAGTTGAGTTTACAAATATGCTGCCGCCAGCCCGAATTACATCACCCCTAGGCTTCCGTTGGCAGCCTTCAGTGTGACTCCACACCCCCGGGAACCCAGTTTACAGACACAAACACAGAGTTCCCATCCTTGCCTTTACCTGGAGACCCGGGGGAGGGGGGTACTGCAGCTGAAGGATTTGTCAGTCTGCATGGGGGGAGGGGGGTGACTTCCTTAACAAATTCTCCTTCATTGTCCAAATCTGTAATTATATTGCTACAACAGGTTCTGTCTCTATGATGTGATTGCATTGGACTAGCATACAGAGTCCAACACTATCACCTATAAATCATGCACTGTCACACCACAGACTATATATATATATATATATATATATATATATATATATATGCCTTTGCCTCTGCCAAACCTGGATGATTGGGGTTTTTTTTTCCTTTGTTCTTGTTTTTTGCATATTCACAGCCTGATTCCCAGAAATAGACTGCTCTGAGGTAGAGGGCAGGCCCATGGGCACAAGACTCTGGTTCCATCCCCAGCAAATATGGACTTTCAGAACAGCTTGGGCTACATGACACTCTTGGTGCAGGCTGTAAGGATTCAGGCATTATGCGGGCCCGCCCCGTCACCTGGCAGAATGCACTCAGGCCGTGCCCTGGTCAGCCCAGGGTTCCATGGTTGTATAGTCTGCAGGAAGGTGCAAAGGACCCTTTAAAAGACAGACCCCAGCCCACTTAGGCTCTTTCTGCTCTTTTCTGGCGCTTCCCGCTCTCTCTTCCTGCTGTTTCCCTGGGCAGACAGAACTTTTCCCGTCTCCCTCTTCTCCTCTGTCCTCTCTCTGTCTCTCTCTCTTTACCTCTTTTCTCTTTCCTTCCCCCTCCCTCCCCTTTCTAATAAAACTTCTCACTCAAGCTCTGGCTGCCTGGTGTGTTTGTGTCCCACCCCCATCCCCCAACCCCTCACCCCCTCATCCTCCAACCCCCCACCCTCCCACCCTACACCCACCCCTGCCTTGGTCACCTTCATTTGCCATGGAATCCACCCACCATGGTCCCCCACAAAAGGTCCCCTCAAGCTTTATCCTAACACAGGCCAATTCAGCCAATTATTTTATGGACCTGACTCTAGGTGCTCAGCACCCACATAAAAGCCACAGGTATAGTAGCACCCCTAATACCAAGGGAGTGGAAGGCAATGCCCCTGGATGGAGACAGGATTCCTGGGGCTTGGTTGCCAGATTGCCTTGCAGAAACAGTGAGTTCCAGGTTCAGTGAGAGACTCTCTCAAAATCCAAGGCAGAGAGTGACTAAGGGAAACCCTGTGTCAGCCTCCGTGCACACCCGTGTACACCACACATACACAAACAAATTCATGAATGAGCGCCACATGTTGTTTAAGCTAAACAACAAAAAGGATTTTATTTTATTTTACTTTTTTTTTTTGGTTTTTTTTCGAGACAGGGTTTCTCTGTGGCTTTGGAGGCTGTCCTGGAACTCACTTTGTAGACCAGGCTGGCCTCGAACTCACAGAGATCCGCCTGCCTCTGCCTCCCAAGTGCTGGGATTAAAGGGGTGCACCACCAACGCCCGGCCAAAAAGGATTTTTAAAGACTTATTTACAAATACATTTATTTCCCACATATTAACATAAATAAATAGTTTCCTTTGGGAAACTTTGATGGCTGGTTTCTCGATAGCACCTGCCCAGCAGTTTGCTAATGCTGCAGGACGAGTTATATAAAGAGTTATGTGAGCTATGCTCACAATAAATACTGAGTCCAGTCAGGGACAGGGTGTGGGGAGAATACTGGAAGGGGGACCCCGTGCTCAGGCCCCATGAGATATAGCAGCTTGGGGTCCCAGTGCCCAGGGGTCATAAGGAGGGTAGCACGTGCCATTACCCTGTGGCTGACAGTCCCTGTGGGGTGTCAGGTTGCACAAGGAAGAGTGCAAAGCTAGTGATATCAGTCTGAGACAGCTGCCAGTCTCTGTACGCCTCCTGGGCTCCGTCCATGTAGGCACTGAGTTTCACACTGAGGCAGTGGCCAGCCTGCAGGGGGATCAGGTGACTCCAAGAACCTTCCACTAAGTTGGCCTCCATTGACCAGGGGAACAGGTGCACAGTGAGGCCCGAGTTGTCAAGGCCCTCTATCGGGGGAGCCAGCTGCAGAGCGAGAGAGACCCGGCCCTGCACCTTGTGGTCCGTGTTTTTTAGCACAGGACTGAGCTTCAACTGCAAGGTCACGTAGTACAGACCAGCGGTCTTCACTGTCAACTTTTTTTGGGACCTGTTGAACTTCAGACCCTGGTAGGGATTCGAGCTCCCAGCTCCTTCTTGGCTATGCCAGTGCAGGGTCCTATTGGGCTGCAGCGATGCTTCTAGAAAAAGAACAGTGAGTTGCTGAGAGTAGTGTGGCATGGAGACGTGGGGCCAGGAGGGTCGGGGGAGGACAGAAGGAAATTGAAGGAGGGAGGGAAGGAGGCCACCTAGAAGGGATATAATCCAAGAAAGCGGGTGTGGAATAAGAAAGGGAATGGGGTCTAGGATGAAGATGCAGGCGAGCTCCAGGAAGGAGGTGAGCAAGGAGAGCCACTGGGGAAAGGGGCGGGAGTACAGCGTAGGGGAGGGTTGGGAGAGAGTAGAGAAGGTGAGAGGAGAAAATGAGAGAGTGAGAGATCAGCGGAGGACGGCAAGGGATGCGCAAAACTGGGAAGGGAGGACTCCAGGAGGGCGAACGGAGAGTGAAGACCGGGAGCTTAGCGCCTAGAGCTGGGGCTCAAGAGGAAGAATGCTCCCCTGAAGCCCCGGGTTCTTCTGGGTAGGAGGATGGCCAGCCTCCGCTACAAAAGGAAAGCCTCGGCTATGTGCAAGGAGGGAAGGGAGGGAGATCTCCCAGAGCCAGGCTGGGGTGAGAAGTCCCAATTCCCCGAGGACCCAGATGAGGTCACAAGGGTGACAAATGGTGGCCCTTGTTCAATCTCTCTGAAGGGCTCGCGCACTTACCGTTTTTAGCCTGTAGATTAGCGAACACGAGAGACCCCTAGGAAGAAAGAAGAATAAAAGTAAAAGCTCCCCTACATCCTAGAAGGGCAAGCACGCTGGGGTGCCCTTCAACTTTGACTGGAGGAAAGACCGGAGGACCTAGCAGGACTGTGGGGAAATGCCGTGCACCGTCGTCGGCCATCCCGCGGGCCGGATATCTACTTAGGACGTTCATGGGGTTAAGATGCAAAGGAGTCTTCTCTGAGTGCGAGATGGAGAAGGGGCGCTTCAAGCGTGGTAGCGCGCAGCGCGCGGTAGGGTAGGGTGCCGTCAGTGCAGAGGGATACTTTCAGAAGGTACGAAAGGGTCCCCCAGGCATGGGACGTGCCTCACCTTGGGGTAGTCATTTAGAGCAACGGGAGTGACCGTCCGGTTTGAAGTCTCTGTGAGATCCCGCAGGGTCAGGATGCCAGTGAAGAAGGCGATCGGGACACAGACAACCCCAAGCAGCAACACCAAGACGCCTACCCAGTAGAGCAGCCGACAACGGGAACGCGAGTGCCGAGCGGGCAGCCACACTGCCTCGGGGTCCCGAAGATTAACCCTGGGGTACGCAGCATCCTCGGGGTTCTCAGCATCCGCGGGACGCACTGTTTCTGCGAGGAGCGTAGCAACCGCCGGAAGCGCAGTACCTGACGGATGCCCAGCATCCGCGGCGTCCTCCGCATTCGGTGTGCTCTGGTCCATGGCCATGGTCAGGCAGTGCTCGTCTCCCGCCTGTGCCCGCGCTTTAAAGGGGAGCGCTCTTCGGAGGAGGAGCGTGGAGGACAGCCGTGGGGTTCCCGGGCTCCTAGCTCCGCCCTGCGACTCCGGGAACTTTCTCCCCTCCTCCTCTCTAGTCCCTCCCCGGTGTCCAAGCCTGGTGTCTGCTCTCTTCTTCTTCTTCTTCTCTTCCTTCTCCTCCTCCCTTCTTTTCAGGGTGTGTGTGTGGGTGGATGTGTGCGCGCGTTTCCTTTTTATTAACACTGACACATTAAACAGTTGTTCATATGATGGGGACCATGTGATGTCGGGGTCCACTCCCTCCCTGGCCTCTGCTGGATCTACAGTCTTTTTTCCTCCTTCTCTGCTATGAGGTTTGAGTGCCGGCCGGGGGCTACCCTGCCCTTCCTGAAGATCCTTGATTCTCTCGGTCTCTGGCTCTTCAGTTCCGTTTTTCTGTCTCTGACTCTCAAACCTATGTCTCTCTCCCTGTCTTTCTTGGCCCCCTCTCTTCCAACCCATAGCTCTCCATCCCTGGGACGCCCCCAGGGTGCTCCTAAATTTAGGGCTTTTGCAAAGGACTCTAGGGACTCATCAACTCCCCACCACCCCAGAGAGACCGAAGAGCCCTGCTGAGCACCCCCACACAGCCTCTTCTTTCCCAGGACCCCCGGGCCTTTCCTGGACTGTCCCCACCCACCTTCTTGGGGCTTCCTGTCAGGAACCTCCTAGGACCCCAGAAGCAGAAGGCTGGAGAGTCCAGATCTAGAAATTCCCCCTCCACCACGGAGGTTTTCGATTTCCCATTCTTTTATTGCTATTGCCTGAGGTGGAGGCGGAGGGAGGCGGGAACAGCAGAAAAGGCCCCCAAAAGAGGAAATGAGAGGTGATCGGCCTGGGCAAGCCCTGGGGACAAGCTCCTCAAGGCCTTGACCTAGTGAGAAGACAAGCCCGTAATGGTGTAACCACCTAGCCTGGTGACCTGAGTTCCGTGCCCTGGAACCACTCAGTGGAATGAGAGCTGACACCCACAAAACTGTCCTGCAAATGTCCTTTGAACCCTACATACCAGGAGGTGGTGGTGGCACATGCCTTTAATTCCAGCCTGGTCTACAGAGCGGTATTCCAGGACAGCCAGGGCCACACAGAGAAACCCAGTGGGGGGGGGGCCTTTAATCCTAACACTCAGGGGACAGAGGCAGGTGGATCTCTGTGAGTTCCAGGCCAACCTGGTCTACAAATCGAGTTCCAGGACTGGCTCCAACGGTACACAGAGGGAAAACCCTGTCTCAAAAAAAATGTTAAGCCCTGATATGCCCAAATCAACAGGGGCCAGACTGTTTACCTTGGCCCCAACCTGTAAGAAACAACTATGAAATGGGGAGTTTTTGTTTTGACATAGGGTCTGGTGTACCACAGAGCGTCCTCAAACTCACTAGCCAGCCTAGGATGACCGAACTTCTGACCTCCTGAGGGTTGGGATGCAGCATGCACCCTCATACCATTTCCTTGGTGCTGGGGAAGGAATTCAGAGCCACACTGAGGCTCTACCAAGGGAGCCGCAGCCCCAGGTCAGCTGTTTTTCATACTAGGGAGGGAACTCACTGGGTTCCCTGCCCCAGCATGGGAGAAGCTGAAGGCCCAAGAAGCCCTCTCTGGAAGCACCAACCACTCCCTTCTTCCTTCCTTTTGACCCTGCATCAGCTTCACTGGGGAATTACAAAAAAAACTCAACTGATGGGGGGGGGGGTAACAAGATGCAAAAGGCTTTCATGATCAAGAAATTGGAGGCTCCACCCAAGGGATGGACCATGACTGCTGGGTACCCGCTGTGATTCAGCCGTGGAAGCTCTGACCCTCATACACAATCGCCTGACCACCTCCCTCCTCTGCTGCGTAGTGAGGACATTGTCTCAGCCTCATCTATACCTCAGCTGTCATCGCCCTGAATAAAAATGACGGATGGAGACTTTCCCCGTCGCTGACTATAACGTCTCCCAAACCACTGTGTGAAGGCTTCTACCCCACAGATTCTTCAGCCTCGTCACCAAGGAATTGGAATTGCGACCTTAACTAAGCTAAAACTAACTCCCCTGGCTCATCTTTCCTGCAGAGCCAGAAAGTGTCTTTATTCTCCCAGGGAGGCTAGATAATTGATGGAGTTTCTGAACATCACACACACATGCATGCGCACGCGCACACGCGCGCACACACACACACACACACACACACACGGCACCTGCCCCACACCTGTCCTACCATGCAGGATCCAAATACCAAAAGACTGCTCCAGAGAGCCTGGTTTTGAAGAGGAAAGATTTAACATCCCAGCAACTCCTGGTCAGCATCTGCCAAGCTCCCAGGCTGTGGGCCAATCTGTTAACAATTAAAACCACAGCCCACAGCCAAGTATTGCCTAAGCTATTGTCCAGAAGAAGTGGGAAGAGAGCATCTAGACCTCCAATAACGTAGACAACAGAACCCCGCCCTCGAGGCCTACGTTAACCACTCCAACGAGCCCTTTATTTTTGACACAGGCTTGCCCTGTTGCCCTGACGGTCCATCCTCAGCCTCCCAAGTGTGTATGCGGGATGACAAGTGTGTGGTGCCACTCCCAGCTCCATGGGAACTCACCATGGCTGCCTCTGTTTACTGCTTTGCTTACTTAGCACTGCCTCCTACCCCTGCTGATGTGTGGCATCCTCAGCAGCATCTGGACCCACTGTATTCTCAGGTACCCACAGCATACAGCCGAGGAGGGTCTCCGATACTTATGGGAGTAAGGAATGAAAGAAAGGTGGGAAAGAGGAAAGGAAGGAAGGAGCAGGGTAAGTGAATGTGCGGATGGATGGGTGGATGTGTGGATGTGTGGGTGGATGGATGGGTGTGTGGATGTGTGTGTGTGTGGATGTGTGTGTGGGGGGGGTGGATGTGTGGGTGGTTGTGTGGGTGGATGGATGGGTGTGTGGGTGGATGGATGGATGTGTGGGTGGATGGATGGGTGTATGGATGTGTGTGTGTGTGTGTGTGGATGTGTGTGGGGGGTGGGTGGATGTGTGGGTGGATATGTGGGTTGATGGATGGATGTGTGGGTAGATGGATGGATGGATAGATGTGTGGATGTGTGGACGTGTGGGTGGGTGGGTGGGTGGATGGATAGGTGGATGGGTGGATGGGTGGGTGGATGGGTGGGTGGGTGGATGGGTGTGTGGATGTGTGTGCGGATGGATGGGTGGATGTGTGGATGTGTGGGTGGATGGGTGGGTGGGTGGATGTGTGGGTGGATGGATGGATGGGTGTGTGGATGGGTGGATGGGTGTGTGGATGTGTGTGTGTGTGGATGTGTGTGTGGGTGGATGTGTGTGTGGGTGGATGGGTGGATGGATGGATGGATAAAAGGGAAAGAAGAAGGTATATGCAGGAGGCCTGGTGCTGATGCTGCAGGACTATGGGTGACGCAGGCGCAGCAGCAGAGCCTCCTGCAGCAAACAGCATGGACCTTGCGATGCTAGACAGGCTGTAGGGCCTGTCAGCTCGAGCACACTACACTCAGGTCCGCCACGCAATTGCAGGGCCTGAGAGTTCGCAAGACTCCTGTGGACCCATCCCAGCAACACAAGCATGTGGTAGACAACGGGAAATGACTCGGGATGCTAAGTGTGGTGCTGAGCACAATACATGCTTAGCAACGGAGAGCTGTCTGTTGTTTTTCATATTTTATGAATACATATTTGCTATATGTAACAATAGTGAGTCCCACTAGGACATTCTCATTCCTGTATATAACTTTTTTTCACATTCATCCATTACCCGCTCACGTTTTTAATTTGAAGGTTTCTGTTTCAATGTTTTTATAGTATGCATTTTATTTTTAAGTGTGTGAATGTTTGGCCTGCGTGTGTGCACATGCCCATGGAAAGATGGGTCACATCCCTTGGAACTGCAGTTAAAGATGTTTGTGAACCACCATGTGGGTGCAAAGAACAGAACCCAGGTCCCCTAAAAAACAAAAAGCACTGTCTGGGGCCATTTCTCTACCCACACCCCATGATCTCCTCCTGTCCCTCTCTCACTATCTTTGGTCCCCTTCCTCTTCCCAAATAATTTTTAAGACAGGGTCTCATGTAGCCCAGGTTGGCCAACTCACTCACTAACCAAGGATAACTTTGAACTCCTTCCTCCTGCCTCCACCTCCCAAGTGCTGGAAAGACAGACTTGGGTCACCATCAACTTAAGTGAAAATGACTCTCTGCTTCCTACCTAATCGAACATCAACACACGCACCAGGCAGGTCCAGAAATCCACTCTAAAGTATGAAGCAAGTTGCCCGATAGACCCAGGGACTGTTCGGAGCTGTGAGCCTACACAGAGCGCTGGACCTCCCCTCCCGGGAAAGGAGACAAAGTGCATAGCCTCGGGGGAAACCAAGCCTGCAGCCCAGCTGGCAATCCTGAAGCGCTGTGCTTGGGGAATCCGAGGCAGGAAGCTCCGCCCACTGTGCGGATCTGAGAGTTACCCTCTGGCAGTGCAGTCACACCTCCGCTGTCCTCACCTATGGGGGAGGGCAGGCCCTGGGAGGGCAGCCCCCCCCCATCCTACCCACACCACCGCACATCCTGGGAGAGCTCAGAGGAGAAAAGCAGCTAGACCGACGTGCACAACCTCGTCCCCCCAGAGGCCCGTCTCCCAACTCTGCAGTCTGCTGACTAGGCTAGTCCCCCTTGGTATTTTCTAGGGAGAAAAACAAAAGTTTCCTATTGGGAGGTTTTTAATGCAGGATCCCATTTTCTCGCACTGTCACCCAGAGTCACCTTGCACATACTAGGTCCACCCCCTGACCATGCCCCAAGCCACTCACTGGGGGATTCTGGACAGATTCTAAACATATCTCTACCAAACTTTGCAATCTTCATGTCTCAGCCGCTAAGAACCTGGGATAAGTACGCGCTAACATACACAACTTAGCATCAATTTTTTTTTTTGATACAGGGTCTCCTTAAGTTGCTCAGGCTGGCTTCCAAGTCCTAGGTTCATGCCATCCCCCTCCCTCAGCCTCCCAAATGGCC